TCCCAAACACTAATACAGCAAACACTAAGCTTTCAAGAGCAGCAAGAAATGGAATTACTAGTTAGTTGCTCCACTCTGGAAGTGGAGCTTTCCATCTACAAGAAAACAAAATAGGCTTTAGCTATGCTGAAACAGTAAACAGAAAAACAGGTAGCCAATATGCATGTAGAAGAGAGAGTAAACAGAAAGCTGTTACACTTTTCTGTAAAATTGGTAATGACAGATAACAGTGGGCTAAGCCAAGAGTCCCGGAAGTTATAAGATCCCTTAATAATTGTAACAAGTTGCTATTGTAATTGCTGCCATGGCTGCATTCACACTGTGTTCTAGCACCTTACCCCAAGCAGTCCTGATTTCTCTCACTCCTCTGAATTACACAGTCCAACTGGACAGTCTGTATCTAGTTCAATGTTCTTTCTTGTACCCATGCTACCTAAGACCTTGCTCATAGCTGGTTCTCAGCTAATTTGAGGAATTAAACAATGTATTTTTATGTAAACTAAAACCACAAGAAGGTATCTTTCCATACCTACTGTGATGACAATACAGACAATAAATGTTGGTGAGGATGTAGAGAGACACACATTGCTGGTAGGAATGTAAAATACTCCAGCCACTCGGAAGACAGTTTGGCAGTTTCTTAAACAAACCTGCCAAGCACTCCCACAATTCTGCTCCTAGTTGTATACACAAGAGAAATGAAAACACCCACTCACACAAAAACTGGTACAAAATGTCCACATCAACATTATTTATAAGGGCTGGCATTCTGGTGCAGCTAGTTAAGCTGCTGCCTACAAGGCTGGCATCCCACATCAGAGTGCTGATTTGAGTCCTGGCTGCTCTACTTCCTATACAGCAGCCTGCTAATGCACCTGGGAAAGCAGTAGAAGATGGTTCAAGTACTTGAGCCCTTGCAACCCATGGGGAGATCAGGATGCAGTTTCATGTTCCTGGCTTTGGCCTGGTCAATGCGATCATTTGGGGAGTGAACAGGCAGATGAAAGATTTCTTTTTCTCTGTCTTTCCCTCCCTTTCTGTCACCCTGTGTTTCAAATAAAATAAATCTTTTTTTAAAAAACCATTATTTACAATAGCCAAAAAATGAAAACAACCTAAATGTCTGTCTATTGCTGAATAAATAAAATATACCAATATCCATAAAACAGAATACTATTCAGCAATAAAAATGAATAAAGTACTGATACAAACTACAGCATGGATGAAGCTGAAAATTATGCTAAGTGAATTAAGCCAGATATAAAAGACCATATATTGTATGATTTCATTTACATGAAATGTCCACAACAGGTGAACCTATAGAGATAGAAAACAAGTTAGTGGTTCCCTGAGATCTGTGATGAATGAAGAGCACCGTAAATGGGTAAAAGGCATCTGATGAGAATGACAATGTTCCAAAACTGGATTATGGTTTTGGTTGCACAATTCATTACAATCATTGAACTGTGCAGTAAAAATTGGCTAATTTTTATGATACAAAGTTACAAGTCAATGAAGATGTTTTTAAAAATCAGTGCATTTTCCTAAAATAAACAAACAATAGAATGATTACCCAAAAGATGTTTCAATGGTGAGCTATATGGAAAGGGAAGAAACAGGATGGCGAGGACACAGGATGGCGAGGACACAGGATGGAGGGAATCCAAACTTCCTGAAAACACCTTTCATTCACTTTTTTTCCCCCAAAGATTTATTTTATTTATTTGAAAGGCAGAATTAAAGAGAGAGAAAGAGAGAAGTCTTCCATCTGCTAGTTTACTCCCCAAATGGCTGCAAGCCAGGAGCTTCTTCCGGATCTCCAAAGTGGGTGCAGGGGCCCAAGCAGTCGGGCCACTCACTGTTTCTTTCCCGGGCACATTATTAGCAGGGAGTTGGATGGCAGCGGCTTAACTCACTAGGCCACAACACCCAGCCCCGGTATTCCTTTTTAACATTCCCCTTAGGAATAATGTAAATGATCTACACAATGTTAAACAACACTGAAATAAAAAACAGCAATCCTTAAAAACAGAAAGCAAATAAAAACAAACCTGTGTATAGAATTGGTGGTTTAACAACAGAGAGAAATGATTTCAAATGACTTTAAAATATTTGTCCCTAAGGACAAAAAGATTGTAGAAAAATCATCAATGTCTAAGCAAGCCTTTTAATAACTCTTATCTTGATTCACAACTATAATACATATGACTGCATGTGTATGGAAAAGGGAATAAATAATTTTGTAACTTAGAATCAACATTTTCAGTGTAAAAAAAAACACCAAGTCGAAGAAGGCAAATAAAACTCTGTAACTCTAAATTTCAATTAAAAATATCAGTATAAATTCAAGAGAAAAATATAAATATTGCCTAGTTCTATTTACAGAAAGGGCCTAGAAACATCAAATAACTTGGCAATTCTCATATCAGGGTCAATTAATAAAGAATTGGTTCCTTGGAGAAGTTGCAAATTTAAGATCCAGGACAAGAATTATACAAAGTGTCTGCAACATTTCATCACATAAGAAATAAAGAAAATTATCAAAGACTACTAGGGTTATAGAATAGGATAATCAACTTCAGAAGTCTCTTATTGGTTAAAGACAGAGTTATTTTAATATTAGGAAGAATGGTAACTGTATTTGATGAAACATATTAAGTCTGTTAAAAATCCATGAATTTGGGGCCAGCACTGTGGCATAATAGGTTAAGTATCCACCTGTGGCACCAGCATCCCATATGGGTGCTAGTTTGTGTCCCTGCTAATGTCTTGGGAAAGTAGCGGATGATGGTTCAAGTGCTTGAGCCCCTGTACCCATGTGGGAGACCCGGTAGAAGCTCTGGCTCCTGGCTTCGGATCAGCCTAGCTCTGGCCGTTGTAGCCAGTTGGGGAATGAACCAGTGGATGGAAGGCCTCACTCTCTGTCTCTGTCTCTGTCTCTCTCTGCAACTCTGCCTCTCAAATAAATAAATAAAAAAAAAAAAAACACCTATGAAAAACAGTGACAAGTTTTTTAAAAAGGTGAATAATCTTAGGGAACCAACCAATTATTCTGAACATTGGCAAATAATGGGAAGAGGGGACCAGTTTTCTTGCCTTGCCTGTAGGATCTCTCTCTCAAGACAGATGATGAGATTAAGTTCCTATTAACTGAGAAGGAATAATAAAATGTGAACACCACCATTCTGCAACCCCTAATAAGAGGATGGAATGAGCAATTATGATCAGTAGCTGCTAAAGCAATTGGCTAGAAGTACATGTGGAATAGATGAATCAGGCTGCTAACACTGAACCCGCTGACCAATCTAAACACAAGAGAGAACAGACATCCTGGGCAGCAATTAAAAGTGCACAACCCAACATCATTATGCTTGCCAAAAAACAGCAACAATAAACCTGAACCTGAATGTGATGGAATCTGAGGCCTGGGTCTAAATCACCAGTTTACAGGCAATGCAATACAGAGATGCAGGACACTATTAACATATACCAGGGGCTGGTGCTGTGACATAGCAGGTAAAGCTGCCACCTACAGCGCCGGCATCCCATATGGGCACCAGTTCGAGACCCGGCTGCTCTACTTCCAATCCAGCTCTCTGCTATGGCCTGGGAAAGCAGTACAAGATGTCTCAAGTCCTTGGGCTCCTGTACCCACATGGGTCTTCCTGGAAGAAGCTCTTGGCTCCTGGCTTAAAATCAGCCCAGCTCTGGCCATTGCAGCCATTTGGGGAGTGAACCAACAAATGGAAGACCTCTCTCTCTCTCCCTCACTGCGTCTGCCTCTCTGTAACACTGCCTTTCAAATAAATAAAATTTTTTTTTAAAGACATCCTAGAGATGCCATCAGCATAATTTGTGGACTTTACTTGGATCCTAATTCAAACCAATGTTGCTGTTTTCAAATGAGATAATTGGGGAAATCTGAACACTAGTCAAATATTAGATGATTTTAAGAAATTATTAACTTTTAAAGCATGACACTATTGTACTCTGCACACCAAGTTCATTGAAGTTCCTTGTTATTCCTATATCCAAAGCTTTCTAAGATAGCCCTGTGGTTCCACAAAAGATGCATGTTATCTTCACACATCATAACCCTACTCATGCTGGAGATCGCCAGTTCTGACTCCGAACCAATACTAAAACAAAAGCCTGTGCTCAGAAGCAAAGGTCTTAAGGAATTCAGCAACATCTGTTCTCCCTTCCGTCGGTAGGTGTCGCTAACTGCCCACAGTGACCTCACCCCTGGAGCGAGCCTTGAGTACCTCCCTAGCTGCTGCCTTTTCCCACCTGCTCAAGGAGTGCTTCCTCTACCACCAGGCCTACTGGGCAGCAGTTGGGCAGTGTAGAGCTGTCTGATAAGAAGCTTTGTTATGTTAGGCTAAAAGTTATTCAAAAGAACAATCTTTATAAAAAAAAAAATAGGAATGTTTCTTTCCAACAGCAATCATGACTTTAAAAGGATTGGTCTTCTTAGGACAGAAAGGCCATGTGACCTTGTGAACATTCTTTAAAATGCCAGTGCTACAAGGCCAACACAAATATCACCCAGCTAACTAAGCTGCTACAATGTTGCAATTAACCAGGCTCCTTAGATCACTAGAGTTCAGAAAACATCAAAGCAGGATTAGGAACCTTCATTCCGTCCCCCCACCCCCAAGCACACTCCTCTCTCTGCCTCTCATGTAGAGAGCCTCATGCTCTGAGTCTGCAAGAGCCTGGCTTTGATTTTGCTAAGGAAACAGACTTCTAATAACCAGACTGCCAACACACCACCAAGCCACAAACAAGTGAAAAATCCTCCAATTTTGTCATGTCAATAATCATTAGTTTTGGGTTTAGGATACAACAGCTCACCTCCAGGACAATCTTAATTTTCCTTTTCAACTCCCACTCAACCTTGTTCACTGCCAAACACAGAAGGAATGGAAGCAGTCCAGTCCAACTTTCCAGGCCATGTCCAGACAGAGCAGACGGAAACCCAACATCAGAGTCCCTACCTGGAAGTGTAAAATAATGGTCCAGATGAGGCCCAGGGTCAGCTTGGGGTTGCCATCCGTAATGTCATCATTGCGAATGTTCACCAGTTTCACCTGAAAAAGAAACAAAAGCCAACCTCAGAGCACTGAACTTTTTGATTTTTACAGATTTTCAGTACTGATATACAATGAAATTGATTTTTAAAAGCTTCTTAGTTCTATGAGTTTTAACACATGCATAAATTCAAATACTTATCACTCCAATAAGGTCCCTTGTGATGTCCCCATGTTGTAGTTAAACCCCACCCCAAGCCCCAACTCCTGTGACCAGTGATCTCTTGCTGGTCCCTAGTTTTGCTCTGTTCATAATGTTATATCAATGTAATCGTGTAGTATGTAAACTCTTTGATACTGGTTTTTTTTCTACTCAGCATGATGCCTTGAAGATCCCTCACCAAGTTGTTGCTCCTTTTTCTTGCTGAGTAGTACTCCATTGTGCAGACCCACAGCCCTGTCTATCCATTCATCCAGTGACAGGCATGTGGGTTGTTTCCAGCATTTGGCAATTATGAATACAGCTCCTATATTCATGTACAGGTTTTTGTGTGAGCACGTGTTTTCATTTCTGCACAGTAACTCCCTAGGAGTGGGACTGTGGGTCATAAGGTAGATGTTGAGCATTGTAAGAGACAGCCAAAGTGTTTTGCAGAGCGGCTGGACCATTTTGCATTCTACCAGCAAAGCAACCCTGCAAGCTCATGGTACTGTGAGCTGCTTTTCTATTCCGTTGTTCAAGCTCTGACTTTTCAAACTGAGGAAGAGATGCCTCTTCATCACAATAAGTCTTTGGCCTTCTCCCACCCCACACCCCCTCCTTTGTCACAGACATCCACACCTGTCACGCCTCTTGTAGCTGTGCACAGCCCCACAAATCCTTCCCCAACCCAGGGTGATCAGCCATCCCAGCATACTGGGAACTGAGGGGTTTCCTGGGACAAGGAATTCTAAAGCCGAGAGCATCCTAGGTAAACCACTCTGCTTCCACCTCAACCCCATTAGCCTCTTTGTCATGCCTCACAGAGCTCCTGTGCAATTGCAACAAACTACACTTGAGCTGTCTTTCCTTTATCTCTTCCATTGAACTGAAATGTGCAAGTTTCCAAAAGATGCTAGCAACCTCTCAAACAGGAGACTTACTTCTTCCTGACACTAATGTTCACCTGGGCAAGTTCTTTCCCTTTTCAGTATCTCAGTCTTTGCTTCTGTACGTTGGGCAGATGGGGTAGAAGTGGGAGAATTCAGCTTTTCTAATCACTAGCCATCAACAGTTGGTGGGTTGGTAGTACTAGCCAAGTGCACATCCCTCAGTCTCACCTGTGAGGTTTCCCCTTTCATTGTGAAGTCTCCCTCCTTGGGCCAGATGACCTTAAAATCTCTACTGACCTTTCCTCGGTGACGTCAACACCTAACTCCTATTCTCCTTTCCTACCTCATCACCCACCATCCTTCTTGGCAATTTCAGCACTCGTGTTGATGACCCAAATTATCATCCTATCTGAACCTTGTGCCTGCTTTCTCAATTCTGCTGATTCATTTTATTGCACTTTGGCCACCTGCACAGCTGTAACTTGGACCCCACCACTACTAAGAACTGTTCCAGAGACTCCCCTCGTACTCTGAGTCCATGGCTCTTACTTGCCTATGCTTTCACTCACATAGTAATCTTTGTAATTATTTAGGCCTCTAGTAAACCAATTCTTCTCAACTTGCCTTGTCCATGAAGGACACCTTAAGTTTCCTCTAATTCCTTACATAGACATTTCAACGCTGCTTCCTCTCATTCCTTAAACACCTCAGCAGCCTCCACTGTCCTTACCACTTTTCACTTATTAATTTATTTTACCAAATATTTTATTCAAATAGTGCCAATTACAGATCAGTCAGGCAGCTGCTAAAGGGAAAATCTTTATTTAAAAAGATTTATTGGGTTGGGGGCTGGCACTGTGGCATAGTGAGTAAATCCCATTCGGGTCCTGGTTGCTCCACTTCCGGTCCAGCTCTCTGCTATGGCCTGGGAAAGCAGATAGCCCAAGTCCTTGGGCCACTACACCCATGTGGGAGACCCAGAAGAAGCTCCTGGCTCCTGGCTTTAGATCAGCCCAGCTCCAGCCATTGCAGCCATTTGGGGAGTAAGCCAGCAGATGGAATACCATGCTCTTTGCCTCTCCTTCTCTGTCTGTAACTCTACCTCTCAAATAAGTAAATAAAGCATAAAACAGGGACCAGCGCCGTGGTGCAGCAGGTTAACACCATGGCCTGAAGTGCCGGCATCCCATATGGGCACCAGTTCAAGACCTGGCTGCTCTACTTCCAATCCAGCTCGCTGCCATGGCCTGAGAAAGCAGTAGAAGATGGCCCAAGTCCTTGGGCCCCTACACCCATGTGGGAGACCCGGAAGAAGCTCCCGGTTTCTGGCTTCAGATCAGTGCAGCTCCGGCTGTTGTGGCCAATTGGAGAGTGAACCATCGGATGGAAGACCCCTCTCTCTCTCTCTCTCCTTCTCTCTCTCTGTGTAACTCTTTCAAATAAATAAATCTTAAAACAAACAAACAAACAACAACAAAACCAGAGACAGAGACAGAGACAGAGAAAGAGAGAGAGAGAGATCTTCCATCCACTGTTTCACTCCCCAAATGGCTAAGCCGAAGTTAGGAATCTGGAACTCCGTCCTGATCTCCCATATGGGTGGCAGGGGCCCAAGCACTTGGGCCATTTTCCACTGCTTTGCCAAGCACATTAGTAGGGAGCTGGATTGGGAGCAGAGCAGCTAGGATTCAAAACCAGAGCTCATATGGGATACTGGCACTGCAGTCAGTGGCTTAACCCACCTTACCATAATGCTGGCCCAGGCAAATCTTAAGATCATGTTCCCTAGCCTTACAAGGCCTGTAGCACATTGCAACAGAGAAACATGATAAAGTAATAAATGAAGCAAATTGCTATGGGAGCATACAGAATTTCCCAAGTTAATGAGAATCACTGATAAGAGGGACAAAAATGAAGTGACACCAAAAATATGCATGCCATGTAATGTCGTGTTGACCTGTGTTTAATGTCGTGTTGCTTGGCAACCTGAGCTATACCAAATCTTTTCCAAACAGTTCACTCTGAGCAGATGAACTCTCTGATTCTTTCACACATCTCCTCCCCACCACAAACCATGTCTGCATCTCTACTTTGCCTTCTGTCCCTCTCCTTGTGTCTCAGAAAAAGGAGCATCTTTCTTTTCTTTTCAAAGACAACCATGCCACTCATGCTTTGGTTCTCACTGCCCAATTCCTGGACTTGGTTCCATCAATTGGGAAGCAATTGGAGGAGGGAAGGTGTATAGAAAACAGCATGGACAGCAGAGGGAATATTGAACTACACCTCAAGAAATCCAAGTTAACGTCTCATCTTTGCTCTGCCTCTGTGATTTGGGCAGGCCATTCCATCTGTACAGACTTCTTTATATGTAACATGAAGAAACTGGACTGATGGATGTTGACGGTATCTTCTTTGCCAAACATTCTAACTCTATCTCCCACTCATTTTCAATCCTACCCTCTTCAATGGCTTCTCCTCGTGTGTCTAAAAACACAACGTTGTCTTCCTTCCTTATTGGGAAGGGGAAAGCTTCTCCTGTCCTGTACCTACGTCTCCTATATTCTATTTTCTCCTCTATTAGTACGGTTCTCTCAAACCACCAACACTTAGCAGCTCCCACGTTTTTCTCAGACTTGTGGCATTCAACAGTCCAGATCACTTCATCTCACTTTCATGACGATGCAGCATTTTGGTTCTCCTTCCTGAATGCTACCCCCTTTCTCCATCTTCTTTGCTGGTTTATTGTTCATTTTCGTTTTGACTCCATCTAATGTGGATCTAACAAGGTTCCATCCCCAGCATCTTGTTCTTCTCTATCACATTCTCCTTCCCAAGGAAGCCATGAGGGCTATGTCAGGGCTATGTCAGGATGGTTAGTCCGGCTAGAATACAACCGTTCACCAGCAGGTAAAACTCGGAACTGGGTCAGACTTGGCATTTACTGAGGGCTTACCAGGGGCATTGAGGACACTGCCAACTAGGGTCCCTGGCAGGGTGAGGGAACATGGGGTGGTCTTACCTGCCGCTGCTTTAGGAAGTCCAGGGCAATTTGCACATTCTGCAGCCTATGAAATCGCATCCTGCCCTTCTCCCGGGGCTACAAACAAACAAAAGTGGATGTTAATATTAGCTATACCAATGTACCCACACAGACTCCTTCTTTCATTTCAAGGATTAAAAGGCCACACAAGAACTCCTCGTGGTTGAAGCCAGGCGTGGGAACATTACACAAAGCACCCCTTTAGTGTAGGACCTGTGAGGTTTCAACAGGCTCTCTGTGCACACACACAACACTGTTTGACCACTAACACTGAATCAGGGCCATAGCTTCTCTACAGGTTCTCCTGCAGTTCTATGGGGCAGAACTTGATTCTGAATGTGAGGTTAATGGGAACAAAGGCTGGTTCTCTGGCCTATTAAACGCTATTGTAGAGAAAGAGCAGAAAGTCCTAATTGGGTAGTAATGGATGGAGCCAACCTTATTACAAACCTGGCAAAAGGAGCTCAAGGTAGCCAATTTCTAACTACAGGGAATGAGAAGTAATACATGATGAAGAAACGATCAAGAAACATGAAAAAATCCAAAATCAGAGGCAAAGGTCAGGAAGTAACTCATTTCCCAGGAAGAGGGGTATCAATGCAGGAAAGTCACCTTTGACCTTAATGGGAAATACTCAAAGCAAACCAAACTTCGGTGATGTAAAGCTGTTCAACATAATTACTCCAGTGAAAGTTATTTTCTGCCCATCCTCCAATCCTGGACATCATGCAACCCAGGGGAGAGAAGTCTACCTCCACTTGGTGTCTTTGGCACCTGTCCAAGGCTCACTTAGTTTGCCTCATCTATTTGCTTAGTGAGTACTTGCAGGAACAGCTATCTATCTCTATAACCATTCCTTCTGCTTGTTTTCCAGCATTGCTTTTATTTTTACTACAATTGGGACTGACACATCAGTCTCATTGGATTATACCCAGTTCATTTGCAAATCTCAAACTGGTACTGAGTAGAGGCTAACAAAACAGAATGTAGCTTTACTGTGGGTGTTTACATAGAGGAAACAGTGTCCCAGGTCACAGTGAGCCAAAGAGTAGCCAAGACATGGAGACGGAAGGCTTGAAGCCTCTCCCTGGACACCCCCAACACTCCCCAAAATAGGACAGTCCACAGAGAAGCCAAGCCCCGTTTAGGCAACAGGATACCTTCTAAGTCAAATGTTAGGGAAAAATCTTTTAGGAAGGGCTTCTTTTCTGTCATTTCAGCTAAACTGATTATGAATTTGGCTTAGAACAGGGATGGGGAATGTCTGGCCTATGGGCCATAGAAGGCCTGTGAAATCATTTGATCTGGACCTGCCAAAGCAACTACAGGTAGGACTTAAAATTCAATAAATTTACAGCAGGCTAAGGTTTGAGTTGATAATTTTGTATGGTCTGTGAATGACATTATAAATATCCAATGGTCCTTGGCAAAAAATGGTTCCCCATCCTAGAAGGGTGATATAGTGTGCAGGACTGATGATTCTAAGGCTTCAGGAAGAGAAATCAATATGAAAAGCTGACTTTGTGAGGACAGGGACTGGCGATATTGTCTATTCTCCACAGAAAGATTATGGGCTGTAATTTAAGGCCTGCACACAGGAAATGTTCCTTATATTCTTGTCATTACTTCTAATGTACCCCTCACCAAAAATAAATATCCTAAGAACATGCAAGTTAAATCTCTGTCCTCTAAAGCAACTATACATATTATTAACCAAGACCAGAGAATCTTCATGCAGTGAGTTGGCAAACAACAGGCTGTTTTGAAAACAAACAGCATGGCATGTGGTAAGAAACTAGAGGCAAGAGAGGTGGAGAGAGAATACCAGTTAGTCTGGACTGTGAAGCTGTGAGCAATTAATTGTCATGCTGTCAACTAAACTTTCCATAATTCTGCAGTCTGGATTCACAAAACACAGCAAGGTCACCAGAAAGCTAAGGGTCTCTAGGTCATAAAGGGACTTGATACCTCTTTTGGTATCAATCATTCTTAGATAAACAAAACAATTCCCATTTCAGGATCATCTAACGGTGGCAAGAGGCACAATTAGTTTTAACCACTTTCACTGGGACTCAAATTCCCAGGTGGAAAGAGAAGACAACTGGTGGCTAAGCTACTTGGAGACCTAGAGAACCTCAGACTCTCTGATGGCCCTGCAGTGCCAGCAGTGCCAGCTGGGATGCCGGCATCCCCGGGAGGACCTACGACATCATCATCATCTTCCTCCTCCTGCTCCTCGCTGCTTGTATGGCGCCAGGAGGGCATGCTCACCAGACGGAGGGTCTTCAGCCCTGCTGGCTCCTTTGACCACCAACCAAGGCAAGGACACAACAGACAAATGGGAAATTCACAACACAAAGATGAAATGGAAGTGAATTTAACACAAAAATAAGAAATGAAAATAAATATGAAAATACCCTCCCACTTCCAAGAGAGACACAAAACCAAATCAAGACCAGAGCAGATGATTAAACACTTGTTATGCTGAAATTCATCTTCAATTCTAAACAGTCACCCACCCATTCTGCTTTTGTGAATCAACCAAGGGAGAAAAAGATGATGAAAATAACCATGACAGTAATATCTGGATGGATTTTGCAGAAAAGATGATATCCTAGGAGTATCTCCAGAAACACCTGTAGGTTTTCAAGGGCTAGGAAAATAAATTTGATTGCTGAAGTTTTAACCTGTTTTGTAAGTAACTGTCATCAAGAAAGATCTTGTTGGGGCTGGCACTGTGGCACAATGAGTTAAGGTGCCACTTGCAATGCTGGCATCCCATAGAGGTGCCGGTTCAAGTCTTGCCTGCTCCACTTCCAATCCAGCTCCCTGCTAATGCTCCTGGGAAAGCCGCAGAGGATGGCCCAAATCCTTGGGACCCCGTACCCATGTGGGAGACCTGGAAGAAGCTTGTGATTCCTGGCTTCGGCCTGGCCCTGTCCCAGCCATTGAGGCCTTTTGGAGAGTGAACCAGTGGATGGATGATCTATCTCTCCCTCCCTCTCTCTCTAATTCTGTCTTTCAAATAAATAAAATAAACCTTTAAAAAAGAATTATATCAATATAATCTCATCAAATATATCAGCCACATTGCCCAAAATATAACTTGGTGAGTGCTAAAGAATACAGTCTAACACAGTATATAGAATGAAATTCTAATTACATATTAGATTTTTAAATGCAGATCAGGAAAGAACTAGAAATTACATGTGCTGGCTATGCTAATAAAAGTTTCTGTCAATTTTGAGCCATTAAAAATATATATAATTAATTTTATTGAAAGGGAAAAAAAAATGTGAAATCAAAACAAAGGGTGCAGGGGAAGCCAAAGCCCCAGTCCTAGAAAGAGCTGAATATCACTTAAACAGCGAACGAACGCTGATGTGCCAAATTCTGGTCTTTAAACACAACAAACAATGAATCAGAATTCGCCACAGGCACTGAGGGGGCTGGGTTTCACAGACGACTAGTGCTCTGTGCCTCTCCAGGGCTCTCTTTCCTCACAGATGTTTCCAATATTCAGCCCTGGATTTCTCTAAATGAAAATCATGTTGTCTTACAGCACTAGAGACAGAACATGAACCACACGGGATCACTTGCTTCTACTGGAATCAAATGTATGAAACAATGGGCTCACAATCTGGTTATTTTGATTTCTCAGAACTATCCTCTGACAGGCCATGAGCTCAGACAGGATTTGCCTTCAGACATGTAAGTGTTTCCTACAAGCAATGTTTAATGCACTGTGGGAGGAGGCAGACACATCCAGCTGTCCAGGGAGCCCAAATGTCCTGCATCCAGGTCTATGCTCAGACATCGACTTCAGCATCTCTCCAAATGTGTACAATTAAATGATCATGGGAGGGAAGAAGGGAGATGAACTGGAAGCCAAAACTCCAATTACATAGGCTTTTAAATGTAAACTACAGGTCCTTAGCTGAAAATAAGCAGAAAACTCAAAAATTCATAACAAACGGGAAAATGAATCTAATCTTCTTGAAATATTACAATCTAGGAATAAAGACTAGGTAAGAATGAGTAAGGAGGGGCTGGCATTATGGCACAGGGGTCTAAGCCACTGCCTGTGACGCTGACATCCTATATGAAAGCTAGTTCAAGTTCCAACTGTTCCACTTCTGATCCAGGCTCCCAGCTTCTGCCTGGCCTAGCCCCCCGCAATTGTAGCCATTTAGGGAGTGAACCAGTGGATACAGATGTCTCTCTCTCTCCGGCCAGCGCCGTGGCTCAATAGGCTAATCCTCTGCCTTGCAGCGCTGGCACACGGGGTTCTAGTCCTGGTCGGGGCACTGGATTCTGTCCCGGTTGCCCCTCTTCCAGGACAGCTCTCTGCTATGGCCCGGGAGTGCAGTGGAGGATGGCCCAAGTGCTTAGGCCCTGCAACTGCATGGGAGACCAGGAGAAGCACCTGCTTCCTGGCTTTGGATCAGTGCGATGCGCTGGCCGTGGCGCGCCGGCCCCGGTGGCCACTGAAGGGTGAACCAACGGCAAAAAAGGAAGACCTTTCTCTCTGTCTCTCTCTCTCTCTCTCTCACTGTCCACTCTGCCTGTCAAAAATAAAAAAAAAAAAAATTTTTTTTTAAAAAAAGATCTCTCTCTCCCTCTGTAACTCTGCCTTTCAAACAACTCACTGGGGGAAAACACACACACACACACACACACACACCAAGTAAGCAGAAAACACATAAATCTAAAAAAAAAATACTAGATTACTGATTTCATGAAGACATAGAATCTATTACACACCTTGAAGTTATGTCATTTGTAAACTATAAGTGTGATTAGAAATAAAATCCCGCTAGTAATCTCATCTTCCTCCTCCTCCTCCCCTCCAGCCGCAAGCTAATAGAGCTGGCGGTGTTGGTCATTCAATGCCCTAGCACTCAACAAGATGGACCAATTTGCCATCAACATGAACTTGTGAGGCCACTCAGTAGGAGGAGAGAGAAGCTCACCAGCTTGATACCCGAGAGGACCTCCAGCAGAGAGATCAGGTTATGGCCATCCCGCAGGTCTTCATAAAGGTCATTGATGTGCTTGCGGACCTGGGAATGAGAGTGAAACAGACTGATTGTTATTTGCCCTTGATTTATTAGTTCCAGGTAAATACAAATTAAAGAATTTAAAACTAAAAGCAATAATTAAAAATTTAGGAATTTTCAGTTTGGAGTAAAATATACATGAAATGGTAGTACATACCAGAATTGGGGAAAAGAGAAGTGTAATTTTTTTTTTTAAGCTAAACTATACTGACATATTTATGCCACCAGGACAGAGGCTGTGGATGATTCACAGTTCTAATTGAGGGAAAGATTCACAAGGTATTATGATATTATTTAGTCAGTTGGTAAAATCAGTTCTCTACTCAGGAGCAGACAGAATTTACCATCCTGATCCTTTCTGTTCCTCTCAAGATGCTTTCAAGCAGCAACTGCTTTCTTAATTATGGTAGACATCCTCAAGAAGATCAGGGGCAAGTCCTTGGACTTAAGGAGTCTCAGGTTCTTACTGTCCATCACAAAATACACTTGTGCAATGTTAGGCTTCAGTCTCTCAGCATCAGGCCAGTCTGGGAGGAGTCAGACCCTCCGTGGGAAGGAATGCTTTGGCAACAGGGCAGAGCTAACTGGACAGGCCTTCTTCTGAAGCATGTGTATGACCCATGGTGATGGTGGTCAGAAAATGTGTGTTTGTGTGTATCTTTTTTAATTGAAGTCATATCTATTACACACTCTAAGCAATAATGAACAACATTCTAGAAAGTTTGAACAAACAGATGGGAAGTCTTTGTTATTCTGAAATATCTCAGGAATGACTATGGGCAATATGTGATAGGATTGCTAACAATGGACAGATGAGTCCACCCAGAGTCAGAAAAGCCCTCCCCACTTTGCATGAGAAAATAAGGCACAAGAAGTAAGTTACTCAAGGTCACCAGGTGGAAAAACTGGCCTCACTGTGATCTTTCTGATTTTAGAGTCTTTGCCTTTTAACTACCTTGCCTCACAATCAGCCTTCATTTAATTTGTTTAATTAAAAACTGCCTTGTGAAGTTTATTTGTTACCCCCATTCCACAGAAGAAAATGAAGAGGCTGGATCTCTGAGAAGTCAGGGTCACAGAGCTACAAGTTAAGTGGCAGCTGGTCTTCTGATTCAGTCCAACAGTGATGTCACTGGATAAGGTTCAACATGGTATCACAAGACTGGGACATTACAAGGTAGAAGATGTCTAACATAAAGGATTTCCTGGACAAAAGAAAGGGCTACTTTCACGCATACTAGATTTCTAGTTACTAGAATTTTGCAAACAGAGGCTGGGACTGGGGATTTTTACATTTGAATAGAAAACTAAAATCCTGTCCAATTACAACACTCAAACTAGAATGGAAGTTGGAAAACATAAAGGCTGGAAATATCTGGAAAACCTCCTGGAAGAGATGGGACTTGGAGGATTGCCAAATGATCTGGTTGAAAGAAAAAAGATGGAAAAATTACCTAAGACCAGGTACAGAGGTGGAAATATGCAAAGTCTGTACGTGCGTGTGTGTAAAGATTAAAGTGACAGGCAGATGCTCAACTGGAAAAAATAGTTCACAATGAGTTGGGTAATAGCTTTCATATATTGAAAGATATTTCTTCAATTGTTTATGTTAGTTACAATGTACTGGCCATAGCCATGACCCACTTTTAAGTTGCATCTATAATATTAACATTTTCTTAAACCTAGATAATGAACAAAACAAGATACCTAGCTCAACTGGCAGCAATTGTTGGTTTCTATGTGATAAATACTCCCATGACAACAAACTTTAAGCTATTAATAAAACATCACTAAGTGCAATACTGAGAAAAAATGTACAGTAGCACATTCTATAGCATTTCCATCATGAGTAGACATAATTAATCTTGAGAGCACAGATGATAACATGTAGTAAGATAAGGATGAAGAGTACTTTTCATTTAAAATAAAACGGATTTGATCATAAATTTATACAATTTAATATTTAATAATGGCTATACTTAGCAACCAGCTCACAAAATCGCTGAAAATTTAAGATTTGGCTCTTGTGAGTCCATCTAAGTTGGCTCCAGCACACCAGTAGCTCCAAAATTTGAAGGTTCTTCTCTCAAATGGGTTCAAGGCTAAGTTCATGATGTGAATCACCACAGTGCACCACTAATGGAACTAAGTAGATCATGAGGGCTGGAAGAGGGGATTGGATAGGTTCTTTTCACATGTATGTTGAATTTAAAATGGCACAGCAGTTAAGACACTGCTTAGGATCTTCTCATCTGGATTTGAGTACCAGCTTCTGCTTCTGATTCCAGTGTCTTGCTTATGTGCCCCCTGGAAGGCAGCAGGTAAAGGCTCAAGTAGCTGGGTCTCTATCACTCATGTGAGACCTAGATGGAGTTCCGGGCTCTTGGCCTCAATTTGGCCCAGCTCTGGCTTTTGTGGACATTAGGAGAGTGAACCAGCACATGGAATATCTCAATCTTCACCCCCAGACTCCCCAGTTAAAAAATAAATTAATGGCACAAAGAAGATACAAATGGAAATGTTCTTGAAGCATCTGGAAACACCAGAATTCAATCTGGGTTAGCTGAGAACTTAAGTTTAGAAATCACATGCACAGAGGTGCTAGCTCAAGACATGGGAAATACAGGGTTTTCTGGGTTATAGGGCAAAAAAGAGCAGAGTGCTAACAACTGAGCCTTAGGGAATAGCCAAAATTAGAACATAGGAGATGGAAAAGCAATCAACAAAGGACAGAGATTTAAAAATATAGGAGCAGTGAAAAAGGTAGGCAGAAAAACAAAATGCAATCAAGGCAAGACGATTGGACCCCCAAATGCTACAGCAGGGGTCAAGAAGGATGAGGAAAAAAGTTTCAAATTTTTCAACAAACAAGAGGGGTTTTTTCTTGGTGGGTGTGAGAATAATTTTCCACAGAGTAGCACAATGGAAATCAGATTATAAATGAAGGGAGGGTTATTTAAAGTCATAAGGGCTAGGCATTGTAGCACAGTAGGTTAAGCCATCACTTGGAATACCCACATCCCATATTGGAGTGCGGGTTCAAGACCTGGCTCCTCTGATTTCTTTTTTTTAAAGTTTTTTTTAAATTTATTTATTGTTTATTTATTATTTAAGATTTATCTATTTTATTTGAAAGGCAGAGCCACAGAGAGGCAGAGGCAGAGAGAGGTCTTCCATTCGCTGGATCACTCCCCAGATGGCTGCAACAGCCAGAGCTGGTCTGATCCAAAGCCAGGAGTCAGGAGCCTCCTCCTTATCTCTCACACAGGTGCAGGAACCCAAGGACCCAGGCCATCTCCCACTGCTCTCCTAGGCCATAGCAGAGAGCTGGATCAGAAGTGGAACAGCTGGGACTCGAACCAGCGCCCACATGGGATGCCGGCACTGCAGGCAGTGGCTCCAACCACTATGCCACAGCGCCAACCCCTCCTCTGCTTTCAATCCAGTTTCCTACTACTGCAGGTGAGAGACAGCAGGTGGTGGTTCAAGTACTTGAGTCCCTCTGACCCAAAGAGGAGATTCAGATGGAGTTCCTGGCTCCTGGCTGAGTCCAGACAAGATCCAACTATTATGGACATTTAGGGAGCAAACTAGTAGATGGAAAATCTCTGTCATTCTGCCTTTCAAAATAAATAAATAAATCTGTTTTTAAAAGTTATAAAATATTAAATACTCAATGCTTTTTTTTAAAAAAAAGACTAGTCTCAGGAGACCACTTTTTTAAAAAAATGTTTATTTGAAAGGCAGACATTGTGTGCACCTGACAGAGAGTTTGATCATCTAATACTGGCTCATTCTCCAACTGCCGGCAACAAGAAGGGTTGAGCCATTCCAAATCCAGGCGTTAGGAACTCCATCTGAGTCTCCCACATGGGTGGCAGGAACCCAACTACTTGAGCCATCACCTGCTACCTTCTAGGATATACATCACAGGAAGCTGGAATTGGAAACAGAGCCAGGATTCAAATGAAGGCACTCCAATATGGGATACAAGCATGTCAACTTTTTTGATAGGTAAGACCTAAATGTAGGATATAAATATCAAGAGTGGTCATCAAATAATCATTAAATAAATTATAGAAGGACTTGAGGACCAAGTGAAATCATGTTAATAGGATATTAAACACCGCAGAGTATTAGGAAGAAAAAAATGGCACTTTTAAATGTAAAGTTAATTTCACATGAAGGCCCTGACAGCTCCTTATCAAAACTGCAGTTATGTTTTATACCCCATTACAAGAAATTTAGATGAAAACTAGCTTATTATGTCTCTCATTCTTTGTCTAACTATAATAACCAAATAGCTAAGAAAATAAAACTACAAGAAGTAATAGGAAAAGAGAATATAGAGATTTTTATTTCTTGGAGAGTTATTTTATGAATATAAAAATTTATTTATTTTCATTTTATTTGGAAGGCAGAGAGACAGCTCTTCCATTCACTGATTCATTCCACAAATGCCTGTAACAGCCAGGCCAAAGCCAGGAGTCCAGAATTCCATTTGGGTCTACCACAGTGGTGACAGGGACCCAAATACTTGAGCCATTACCTGTTGCCTCCCAAGGTGCACATTAGCAGGAACTGGAAGGAAAATGGAGAAGCAAGGACTCAAACCCAGGCACTTCAATATGAGATGTGGGCATCCCAGATTTAATCTCTGCATCAAATACCCATCCCACCTGCAGAATTTTCAGCAAGACAGAACAGTCTGTTCTTAAAGCACATTGGACACAGCTCTGCTTAGAGGAAGGTAAAGAAATAGCTAACATGGCCAGCGCCGTGGCTCACTAGGCTAATCCTCCACCTAGCAGCGCCGGCACATGGGGTTCTAGTCCCGGTCGGGGCGCCGGATTCTTTCCCGGTTGCCCCTCTTCCAGGCCAGCTCTCTGCTATGGCCCGGGAAGGCAGTGGAGGATGGCCCAAGTGCTTGGGCCCTGCACCCCATGGGAGACCAGGAGAAGCACCTGGCTCCTGGCTTCGGATCAGCGTGGTGCGCCGGCTGC